ACCCAAATTGGGGGTTTTTTTTTTTGGCCCCCTTGTGGCCCCCCCCCCCCCCCCCGGGTGGGGGGGTTTTTTTGGGTTTTTTTTTTTTGCCCCCCCCCCCCCCCCCCCCCCCTCCGCCCCCCCCCCTGCACGTGGCAAACGATTCCTGAACTCGGGAATAGATGGCGGCAGGCGAACGAGGTGGACAAGATGGTGCTGTGCGGCCACTCGCTCGGGGGATACCTGTCCGTCTGCTACGCGGAGAAGTACCCGCAGCGCATCGACAAGCTGGTCTTGGCCAGTCCGGTGAGACAACCAACAGAAGAGGGGGTGGGGGGTAACAACGATTTGTCCGAGAGAGAGAGCGTTGTGCGGCGGGGGAGGGCACAAGAAACTCGCTCAGATGCGTGCATGCCGGCGGTAGCTTGGTTGGATACTTAGCATCCGAAGTCAAGCCGTTAGACCAGTCGGCGCCGCCTGGCCTAGTGGTGGGTTTGATTGCGATTGCTATAATGTAGCTCGAGATACCCCCTTGCCTCCCCCTTCCCCATGTCCCGTCTGCGGTACAATTGTACAGCAGTTTGTATGTTCTCGATTGTGTCGAGAGCGGCCTCTCCTGTAGACCAATCTGTGGCTCCCTTTCGGTATTACGAAATAAAGTATTCTTGTTGCAAGAAGTGAAAAATAGCAAGGATTTAGAGAGTAAATTCAGTCCGGGGGGAGAGGGGGAACGACCGTGTGTTGCTGTTGCTTCTTGTTCTTAATTGTAGCAAGGCAGACGGCGTTTTTTTTCGCCGCCCCCTCCTACCGGCGTGCTCCATCCCGGCTTGCAGGGACGCGAGCTCAATGGTCTAAACGATGGTAATACTGCATGCACGGCCATGAGGACACCCCCCTCCTCTACCTTTTTCAACCCCAGACCCCGTTTTTTCCGAAACCTGACGTAGGTCGGGTTTCCTGAAGAGCCGGAGGGATTCAGGGAGGCTATCGAGTCGAGACCGTTCGCCCAGAGAAACCTCATGAAGTTTGTGGGGTGGGGCTGGGCGAAAGGTGAGAGCAGAAGACCTGGCAGGTTTTTTCTATCGAGTAAAACATGCTGGATAAGGTATGCAATCGGGGAAGTTGGGTTAGGGTCAACGGGATACGGTCTGCGTCCCCCCCCCCCTCCCTGTTCTATTTCCTCGTATTTTTTTTTCTTCCCGCGAAGCAGGCCCGGTTAAGAGACGGAGGGCTATTTATGGGGGGTTAGGATAGGGTGTGGGCGAGAGCGGGAACACGAGACCAGGGTAGATGACGGCGTCTCATGGAGGAGACGGGTTGTGACGTGGAGAGAGATGGAGGGAGAGGGGGGAGAGGAGGGGAGACTGGGACAAAGGCAGGGGCATGCACTGACAGGCGGACAGATAGACAGACAGACAGACGGACAGACGGACAGACAGAAGGAAGAGGTTGCTTTGTCATGAAGAGGACATGGGGGGGATTTGTTGTAGGCCAGAATGGGCAAGGGTTCGAAAAGCGGGCCAACTCGATCGAAAAGGTGGACAGGTGGGGTAGTGGGTGGAGCTACGCTAGGTTTTCCGAGTGAAAAGACGCGAGTGCAGGCAGCAAACACCCACACAAACCACGAACTTGCCGACACAAAAAGCAATAGAAGTAACAATAATACCACTACCACCACCATTAACAACAACAACAACAACAGACACCCGACAGCGACAGCAGCCCCAGCCATGCTCACAGCCCCGAAAACAACCGCGCTGGCAGGAATCACACCCGGCGACGTTGTCCGCACCATGGGCCCTCTGGGATACCGCATGATGATGGGTTACTCCAACCGACGGTTTCAGCAGGCGGAGTTTGACAAGTGAGAGGCATTTTGTTTTCGTGTTCGTGGGGGTTAGGGCGCGGGGCTGGGGGGGGGGGGGATATGCTCACTCACCTCTTGCCTTCCTTGATTATGTGACCGTTTAGATGCCAAATTTAGCTTGGCATGTGTAGACGAGAGCAGCAGTGTCTCTTTCCCGTGACGGAGCAGAACCGCTCGCACGCCAAGCGTTGATACACGCGCGTCACCAAGATCCGGACAGCGTTACGTTTCCGCCTCGCTTTTAACGCTGTATTTTCGTATTGCAGCTTTTCAAGAAAAGGGAGTTGCGGTGGGGTAGGCGTTTTAGTCGCGGAGCCCCTGGTGGGGGTTGGAGGTCGCGCAGCGTGGAGTCGTTCGGTGCGAGTTTTGGGAAGTTTAGGCGGGAGGGCCGATTTTGGCAGCTTGTGATGGCGAGCGCGGGAATGTATCAGCGGTTACCTATCTGTGTGGTTGTTTATGTTAATTATCGTTTTGAACCCTCTATCCAGTGTACCTTTTGTTCTTCTTGTGTGCTCTTCGAGACGAAGACACGAGTTCCCGTGGGAAAAGAGCTACTGTAACCCACATATGCATACCATTATTTTAACAATTAGGCAAAAGACGAGCGAGGTAGATTATGTTCAAAAGAAAACAAGAAATAAGAGTTATTTATGTATATGTTTTCACAGAGACCTCCTCCAGGAAGAAGCCACACAACGGCAAATACTCTAAATAATATTCGTAGGTCACTGCTGTACACTCCCAACATGCAGACAGAGCAATAAAAGCCCACTGCTCCCACCACTCGGGACGCTGATGTAACAACAACGAAGAGAGTTGTCCCACTGCTCCGACCACTGCTCCACTACACGACCGTCGTCACAGACAGCAGCGGGACAACTCTTTTTGTCTCCCCTCACAGGTCTTCGTTGCAATCACTGCTGTCACAATGCACCTTTTCTTCGCGTTAGATCGCAATAGTTAAGTATGCGTACGTTGTTTCTCTCCAACAGGCGCTCCGACGGGCCGACCGGTCTTTCTCAACTAAGTTTAGGGAACCAACTGATCCTCGGCTCTTTTTTCTGGATGGAGATGCCTTTTTTTTTATTTGCCTCCGGCCGGCTACTGTACAGCAGCATCGGTGAAACCTCTCTGCCCGTCTCTCTCCCCCCCCCCCCCCCCCATCTCTTCTTGGGGGGGCTTTGCTACTGGATTGCCCCCCTTTTTTTCTGCTGGGGGCATGGCATACAACTCGGTGCAGTTAGCCCACCCGTTGGCGTATGCATGCATGCATTTCTAGCCAAGTCCACCGCACACATCCATCCACTTAAAGTCCTTTCGGTCATGTCCCTGAACGTCATCACCACGCCCGCCGCAATAATAAACACCGCTCACAGATGTTAGTGGCCGCCGCAGCGGTATCATCAACCATTCGCACCACCTCCACTCCTTTCCGACCCCCTCTCGCACCAACAACCATCCTGTTGATGTTTTGTTGTTGTTGTTTCTCTCACATTAGCTCTTAAAGTCCACAAAAAAGGGGGAGCCCGTGGTCGCAAAACCCGGCACATACGACGCCGCGGGGAAACAAAACAAGAATAGAGTACAAACCACTCGGAAAAAGAAAACAAAATGACAGAAAGAAAAGAACAGCTACCGCACCGACCGGTCGAGAAAAGGAGCCCTGTAGGAAAATGTTGTGTAGGTGCACTAATTTTTTACTTTTTTCTTTTTTCGGATTTGACGGTTACTTTTGTACGTATTCGAAAGCAAATGGTTGGTCTCGGCAACGCCGCGCTTTTGTCTCTGGCTCCTATTTTGTCTCTCCGCCTCTCTGGCGCATTTCCGCACCCCCCCTGTCGCGCTCCGCGGACCAACCGTTTCGTACAAATGGTCCGCAGTGGAGATCGCTGAGTAAATAGTAAAAAGTTCCTCCGGAGAGAAAATGAAGATCCGTTGAGCGACGCTGGCCATGCGTGCAGCAAGAGTAGGCCTCGCTCAATGACACAGGCAGATTAGTCGCCACAGCGATGCTATAGGTATCAACGATCAACCATGCCTGATTCTCTCTCTCTCTCTCTCTCTCTCTCTCTCTCTCTCTCTCTCTCTCTCTCTGCTCTACCCACATGGAGCGACCTGGCGCAAGGAAGCTTAAGTTGCGACTGCTTGTGCGTACGTGAGAGGTGTGCTCTCCCTGCACCTCTGTTTATGTTCTCATCAACCATGCGGTGTGTGTCCCTTCAGCCAAGGCGGGGCGCAGAAATAGTTGTCTCCAGACAAACAGCAAGCTATCAAACCTATCCGTCCTCGGTGTCATCGTCACCCTATGCGTTGTCAAGACGCCGATGATGGCACAGCAGATGGGTTGGCTAAATAAATAGTCGAATGTGAAGAAAGCACCTCGTTTTTCGATGCGCGCGACTACGGTACCTTGAGCGAACAAACTTCCGCACGCCGGCAGCTGCTGCTCGCCATGAACAGCAATCGTTTCGACTTTCTTGCCGACCGTAAGAAGAAGGGTGCAGTCGCTGAGCCGATTCCTGGAGGGGAGCGACCGCGAGTCGGCCGCCCAGCACTGATGTAGAGAGGCGGTTCTTTGGGATGCTCTGGATTGTTCGATTGTACTGTTGTTGTCTTTTACACTAATTAATAAGAACCGTTCCGATCTCTCTCTGCCCAGTACCTTCTAATATCCGTCATGGTCCAGTTAGACGCGGATACATACCTTCGGTGGCCACCAGGCCCCAAGTACCCAAAGAGGGGTACCAAATCACCGTTCTTTCGAGAACATTCGTCCGAGGGATATGTACTGGACGTGATGATGAGCGAGGGATGGTCCGAAGATAACGATGTCGTATTCCGACATGGAGAGAGCCGGCCATTGAGACCACCAAATTCGACCGAAGTGTTTTCGGTGGGTACGCGCCCCCCGCCCCAATTCTACAATTTTTCGGACTTGGAACAACAAGAACACCGTTCGTTCGTGCTACGGCAAACCCTTTGCGACTAAATAGGGTACGACGGTGGCACCTCTACAGGCGGCCGAGGAAAAAGAAAAGTTGCGCATACAGATAGGGCCCGCAGTTAAGAAAAAATCTTTTTTAAGAAAAAAAGGCTCAATTGTTTACGGAAAATAAGAAAAAAAGGGCCAAGAAACGAAGCTCAATCTCGGCCACAACATAAGAAACGTCTCAATAGTAAACATGGTCGTGCGATACTCCAAGACAAAAAAAAACGACAAGGGGTATAAGCTAGGGGAGCGTGTCCAAAGGAGAAGCGTCCCACTGCTGCTGCTGCTGCCGTGGTCCCACCCCATACCTGGCTCATGCCATGCGATTTTTTGGTAGGGGGAGAGAGAGAGTGGGTATTTTCGCGCGGCGCCCCCCGCGCCCCCGCGCCGCCGCGGGCTGCGCTTCCCACTGCTGCTGTCTGCTGTACTAGCACAACCCCCAATATTCGCCACACCGAGATGTCGGTTTGATGCTGCATGAAGCCTTGGTGTGTTGTTGTTTGCTTCGCCATCAGAAATAAGAAAATTAGTTGTACCTTTTGTGCAATACGTACGTACGTGTATTTTTTCGTACGTGTGTGTGTGTGTGTTTGCTTCTTCCATAAAGGGTGTTATGTACAGCAGTACAAATTTAGCACACCCGACAAACCAACATACCAACATCTTCCTTCTACATCTTTCCAGCATAACATGCAGAGGGATACACAAGACGGCTACCAAACTGTCTTGTTGAGCCTGTTACCCACAGGGGAGATGTCGCTGTGTGCTGCTCGGGAAATCGTGGAAATACAGGTAGCCTTCCTCTGACGCTATGGATTCATTGCTAATCTATCTTAGACTCTTTTCTCAGATAGAGATGGATTCGTTGTGTCATACTAAGAAAAAAAAAAAAGAGAATAAGAGAATCGGCAGGATGCGACAGCCCAAAGGAAGAAGAAATCCGTTTTACGAAATTGGTCGACTTCGGTTGGTCCTTCTGCCCAGAGTATGACATTGAGGCTCGACCCGATTTTGACGTTTCTTATCTCCGGGCCCTATCTGTATAACCGCCGGTGTGATATTGATCTTGAAGGTAGAGAGACGGACAGGCGTAGACAGACTGGTACTTACAGGTTTCCGGCCCTCAGGACTTCCAAAGTATGTTGTATTTACGTAAAAATAGCAATCTACCCCCCTTTTCGACTTAATGAAGACCGACGGTCAGAAATAATGAAATAATGAGACGATCAAGAAAAGATCAACACGGGTGACCGACCCTACGCCGGAAACCCCAGCCCAACGAACCCCAACCAGTTAAAAGCAGTAGTAGTGGGTGCTTGGTGTGCCTTGCCGCAGGTCCTTCGGTCGCTGCTTTGCCGCTGTAACAAACGCGGGGGGTGTTGGTTGCCCTGTCGAAAACGGGCAAGTACGGGAGCGTTGCTTTGTCGTGACACCCTCCCGACTATTGGGAAAACGATGGTCTCCGCTTGGCATGGGCGTGCACGTCGATTTATCCGTTTCGTGAACATTGCCTCAAGACCGGCATGCATGCTCACGACGTGTCTCAGGCCTGCTCCGTTGCGAACGGCGGGCGTTAATCCACTAGAAGTCATCGTCGCATACTATTCAATGTGTTCGTACCCCTTGCCCCTGCCCCATGCCCCCCCCCCCCCCCCCTCCTCTTTTGCCG